TTTGAACCACCACCAAGGTCGAACTGAAGAAGGTTTGAAATGGCGCAACAGTTGAAGTACCGATCAGTAGCTCCCACCAAAGGAACCTTAGCACAAGCTAGGGGCAAATGAAGGGGCAAAATATAAATAAAGCGGATCCAAGCCTTAGCTCGGTCCAAACCACTAAGCCTAAACCCGAATGGTCATCTGATATAGGCCAGATACCCATGTGGGCATTGAGCCAATCTCCACATGAATTATCTACGCAAGTCCTTAAGCACTTGGTCCGAGCATATTAAGGAATAGGCCAGTCCAAGCACAGTACTAAGCAGGGCTAAACTGGTGGATTGAATACATCAATAGAACCAAAGTGAAAGAACCCACATAAGGTCATCCAAATGGGTTAGCCCATCACTACTAGCAACCTTATAGAAGGCCAAACTAAGGTATGATCAGAGCCGTACTAAGGAATCCTTGAGTAAACGTAGAAACTATGAATGCATGCATGTGCAGTGTCAGAACCCGAATATAAAAATTAAGTAAATAATTAAATAATAATTTTACAATCTCAAATATTTTGGTGGTGAATTCTAATGTGCAAATTAAATATTATTGGAGGATCTTTTAATTAATTTTAAACTTAAAATAAATTTATAGTGAAAGTCTTTAATTTAGAGGCAAGATTTATTATTTAAAAATAAATAAATAAATAAATAAATTTAAGTGCCCAGTTAGTAAGTATATTTTGTTATACTAATAGTTATATTTTATTTAAATTAATGGGTTAGAAAGTAGAGTAAAACAAAAGAGAATATTTTAGGGCCTTTTGTGTAGATACATAATGTAACCCTAGGTTGCCTAATACATTCTATAGCAGCAGCCACGGGGAGAAAGAAGTTGAAAAAACAAAAAAAAAAAAAAAAAAAAAAAAAAAAAAAGAAGAAGAAGAAGAAGAAGAAGATGTTGCAATCAAAGAGCTTTTGGATGTGTTGTGTTGTGTGTGATCATCAAAGGTTAGCCCTCTTAGGTTTTCTCCTATTCTTTCTTTGTTCTTCATCCTTATTCTATACTTATTTTATTCATTCATGGAGAGGTTGTAGATTTATGTATTTTGTATATATATGTATACACTGTTAAGAAATCTGAGGAGCTAAATTTATGTGTAAAGAATGGGTGTAATTCTTAGTTCAAAAATTCTGCACAGAATTGCAAACTTTAAAAATCAAGAAACCATATCAAACGGATGAATTTTAATCTAAAATTTTTACAGTAGATCAATTACATATTGAATTGTATATCTGAATGTTTTCATAATTTATGGAAGTCAAAATCCATATAAATTGAGGTATTCAAATCTGTCCAGGAAACCAGTCCGAAACAGTAAATTTGGGAGTGTTGTTCTCTTTGGGTATAAATCCAAAAATTATCAAATTATTGTCATTAGAACCGGTTACGAGTCTAGTTTCTTTCATTTTTTACCTTGCGTTGATTGCTCGTGTATACTAAGAGAACCGTCAATTTCTTTAAAGTGCTGCAGAAAACAACCTGTTTGGATATAATAAATTATAGATAATTATTTTGATAAGCAAATCAAGTGAAACCAATTGGGTTTGAAACTTAGAATATATTAGATCATATCTGGAGGTTATTGGAATTTTTCAAATAGCATGGAGTGGGTTTTGTAATTTTCAAAGTTAGCGAATAAATTGTGAAAACTTGTTTAAAACTCTGTTTTATCTTAAAGTTATTTTTAGTGAAGTTTCGATCGGAACCTATGTCTTTGGTGATTTTAGACCTTGAAGAACATGAACTTAGGTAATATTTAAAGAGTAACGGTGGGTTGGGTTGAGCCGTGTTAGTGCACTTTAGTTTGGGGTTACTTAGTTTATTATTCTTTAGTATTTTTAAATTAGTAGTGACGTATAATTTTCATATTGGTTCAGGGCACTAGTTGGACTTTCATACTTTATTTGAGGATTATATTATTTCGTTTTCAGGTGAGTAGTTTCATGCTACGTATTTTTATAAATGTTCACCTACCCTGAACTGTTGGAAAATTAAATTGTTGTTTTAAGACTAAACTGTTTTGATAAATTATTGTATTATCAATGGAATCAAATTATTTCTGAAACATGTGCGAACTTGGCATACTGTAAACTATTTGTTTTGGTCTCATGTTTATAATGATGAACTACCATGTTTTGCAAAACTGATGTGTATTGATTATTGGGACCATGTGTGTATTTAGTCCAGGGAAATTATTCCACTGTGTGTGGTGACTCTGGCCACTAGGGAACAGATTCGGGTTGGGCCGTGATGACTCTAGTGCTTAACGATTGTAAGGAAAAGACCTTTAAAAACAACTAGGTGACCTTCAATCGGATCGTCTTTGAGAAAAGGCTCAGGTACCACCCTGAGGATGACTCTTAATCCGGTATTGGATCCAACGGGGCTTATAGCCTTGAGAACTGTGTGGCAGATTATTTGTTTTTATTGGTACCCAGAAAATTATTGGTGTTCATGTTATAATCTGTTTTAAGTGGAAAATGTTGTTTATCATGTTCTTGCGAGACATGAGTATTTTAAGTGTTGAACTGTGGAACCTTCTTTTTGAAACAGATTGCATTTACCAAACTGTATGACAATCTAGTTTCTGTGATATATATCTTATTTCGGAATTGAACCCTGTTTTCAAAACTGTATTTACTATCCATGTTGCTACTCATTGAGCTATCAGCTGACTTAGTTGTTTACCATTTCCAGGTGTTAGAAAGACTTAGAGTCGACTCATGGCGTAGCGGGGACTCAATTGCATGGACCTCTAGGGCATTTATTTAATTTGTTTTAGGTTGCTTTGTCGAGTTTTGTGCATACATTGTGGTTGGATTTTATTTAGAATTATTTTATGTTGTGGGCGGTTTGTGTCCCATTTAGTATATATATATTTTTAGGAAGTTGGTTATGACTTGTTTTTCAATTGTGGCATGTCACTGGATTGAGTTTTGATTTATTTATTTCTAGGCTATCATTACATTTATTCTTTGTGGTTTTGGATTCATGTTTAGGCTTACGTGTGCCTTGGGCTAAATCCCTGTGGGCCACGGCCGGTCATGCTCGGATTTGGGGTGTGACATGCAGTGTACCACCCCAGCAGGTCTCCCTTTCTAGAATCACGAAAACAGTTAACTGAAGGAATGTGATATGTTATATACAAAGCTAAAATGAGCACATGACTCCGTGGTTAACCACCTTGTGGTCCCCCAACCTTGGGCAATGTCGAAGAGAGCCTTGAAGCACCCAAATTCCATGAAACCCATCTTGGAGAAAAAGCAAAGTCTTCTATATAAGCAACACTCTCTTCACATTGAAGGTAACTAATATTGAACTAACTCATCTCCTCTAATCACACATTGAACATTCTTTCTCTTTCTCTCTCTACACCTAAAGAGAGTATTTCATCTTCTCTAATCACTCATTGCCCACACCAGAGGGATTTTCCAGCCAACCCAAGTCGGGCAACTCAAACAATGCTCGGTTTTGCAAGACTTAGTTCCTAGATAGTCCAATTCAGTCTCAAAGCTCCGATCCACTTCATCTAGTGCGGTCTCCACTATGTACAAGCACCACTCTTGATAACCTCTAAACTTGGTGAAGAGCTAATAATATGCTACATTGTTGTTTTTTAGCCCCAGTCAATGTGATAATATTACATGAAGTGGGAATGACACATTAGTAGATATATTATGTAAGTAAAAAGTTGCTTGACGCTGAAATAAAGTACCTTCAATTAGAGAATATTTCTTTGGCCTTAATTTTTTTTTTTTTTAATCTATGAAAGTTAATTGTTAGTTATTAGATTAACACCTATGAGAGTTAGTCTCCCCACCCTTCGCAAAACACCAAGTGCTTGCGTCCTTATTTCAATTCCCCTAAGGAGAGTTAAACCAATAACCGCCCCCTAGAAACTAAACCCTTAAGAAAATCATGGTAGCCAACTAGGCTAGACCTAGGGATGTAAATATGGCCAGACCCGGTCCACCCGGGCCCGAGCTCTGGCCGACCCATGGTGGGCCGTGCGGGCTCCCATCTTTCGATCAGGCCAAGCTAGGCCAGGCCGGTCCGCAAGCTGAAAAGTGGGGCGCAAGCCCACTCAGATTAGGGCCTAGGGCCTGGTAAGCCTTTTTTTTTTTTTTTGCAAGAATCAAATGAAAATATATTATATATACAAATTATTTATGAGGGATAAAAAAAACAAAAGAAAAATTATATTAGAGTATTTTAGTTAAGATTAATGAGATGTCACTACAAGAAATTGCATTTTTCTCAACGCAACAAAATATGTTGCTAAAAGGGAAAATTCGTTGGCAAAGCGTTTTGCCGAAACACAAAGCTACGTTGGCAACCCGTAAACAAAAGTGAGTCGGCAAAAGTTTTTGCCGATGAAATTATCATTGCATTGGTAAAAGTAATGCCTTTAGCGACGAACATAGTCGTCGATAAAAGTCTTCATCCATCGTCGGCAATTTACCTTGCGTCGGTAAAAGTCATTCAAATATGATGATTGTGTGGCACTTTTCGCGACACAAATTTGCATGGGCAAAAAATATACTTTTAGCAACAAAAATATGCGTCGGCAAAAGTAAACTTTTGGCGACACATTTATGTCGGTAAATGTTGTCATTTGCCTACGATTTGTTTGTCAATAAAACTTCACTTTTGGCAACGACAAATTAGCATTGGCAAAAAATACACTTTTAGCAACACAATATGAATGAGCAAAAGTAAACTTTTGGCAACACATTTACGTCGGTAAATATTGCCATTTGCCGACGATTTGTTTGTCGATAAAGATTTACTTTTGGCAACGACAAATTGGCATTGGCAAAAAATACACTTCTAGCAACACAATATGAGTGGGAAAAAATAAACTTTTGACAACACATTTACTAACAAAAATAATTGAAAATAATTTATATATTTTTATAAGATTTACAGATTTACAAGAGGCATCCCTCAAGCACTACTATTACAAACTAATAACATTTATATGAAATCACCTAAAGTTGATGTGCAATCAAAAAAAACACTATTGATACTGCTTTTAGAAGCAATGTATAAAACCTAAAAGGATAAAATCACTAAAATACCCAAATACATCCAAATTGTGAACCCACATTAGAAACAACAGATAACAAAATGAAAACATGAAACTAACAAAGACAGGCAAAACGGCATGAAAATCACCCACAAACTTATCCAGCAGACCAACATCTAGTAGCAGCCGCCTCACAGCAACATTGCAGTAGCAGTAGCCCAACAAGCATCAGCCACAAGGGCGGCAACAGCAACAAACCAGCAGCTGCAGCAGACCAACAAGCAACAGCCATCAGCCACCAGCCACCAGCAAAACAGAGGATCTAGTAGCAGTCTGTATTGATCAATGACAAGTTTAAAACAAAGTCCATTAGCTTTTTTATTGATCTGGTAGTAGTCTGTGTGTGTGTGTGTGTATGTGTGTGTGTGTGTGTGTGTGTGAGTGAGTTAATAGATATGCAAGCGCAAGTACTAGCCAAAACATAAAGCTTTTACCATCATTCGGTAAAAAATAAAATAAAATAAAAACCTTCGATTTCCAACTATACTAAAACAATCAGTAGTAGTAGATCCAATGCATTCTACACTCCAGTGAAAAAAAATGTTGTCCAAGTTACAAATCATTCACTTGCAACAATAGCAATAATTTACACAAGGCAAACTAATTTTAGATTCTCTACTAATATTCAGATAAGGTCCATTTCAATGATTTCTTATATGAAAGGCATATGCATTATCTCTGCATATGTACAGAGGTTTCAGATTCTCTGTATTCAGACAACAATATGATGATATTACAATACAAAACTCCTAATCATTATCAAGTTCACATCATTCAATAATTTGGCAACAAGAAGAAAACAAATAAAATGATTGCATTCACTAAGAAACATAAACTTAAAAACTATAGGTAAGAGGCAACCATACTAGTGGTCAGCAAGAAAAAAGTGGCACCCACAATGAGCTACAAGAGGACCTATCCAACTTTGAGTGGACCCGTATTCGCTGGCTTCTGAAATACTCTTACTACTGGTATTCCATCAGCAACCTCACCCCCGACCCTCCATGACCGGTATTTTTTCCTCTGAGGCTTCTTGTGCTGTTTATGAGATACATTTTCACGCTTTTTCTTCGCAGGGACCTTCCCAGAACGTAATCCATTAGCCATGTCAAATGAATTCAAATAATTCAATACATGCTCTAAATTGGGTGTGCTTTCTTCATCTTTACTACTTGGAGGGTTTTCGGTGCAAGATGAATCTGATTCATGCATCTCAGATGAGATTGGTGCATCTGCAACCTCCAGGCCAACTTCATTATTTGACATTCCTGGGGGCATTTCAAAGTGAGGCAGCTTCCCATCAATTGACTTTATTAAGTCCCTAAAGTATATAAATCAAAATATATTTAATCCCTAAACTATTGATTGAATCCATTAAATCCCTAAAGTATTTAATTCAAACTTGTTTAGTCCCTAAAAGGAACACAAAAATAAAATATACGCCCATAAGTATTATAAATTAGTAAAAGACTCAATCTAGTTAAAATTTTATTAAAAAAAAAACTTAAATTTTATTTGTCTTTGAAAAGTGGGTGTCAGTCCTTATGGTAAATTTTCTTTATAAGGGTAATGATAATTATCTATAGTATTGATCAAATTAATACTACAAAAGAAAAAAGAAAAATGGAAAGATTTAAAATGACTTGGAAAAAAACATAATTGAGTCGCAAAGTTGAAGCTCATAAGAAACTGAGCATAGTATTGCAAAACTGAACAAGCAGAACATATATATACCTTGATATCATTGTGAGCAAGTCGGAGCTCTTTCAACTCAGTGCACGACTTTAGTGAATCAATGGCTTCAAGTTGGGAATCAGATAGAGAGAGCTGGAATCATGAATAAGTTACAATCCTAGCACTAAAAGGGTAAACTGATGTTGAAGCTTACCATTAAGAAGTGCTTACCTTCGTGATTGATTTCACCTTGACCAGAGACTCTCCAAGTTTATTGATTGGATTTCTAGAAAGAACTTATACAGAACCCAAAAAAAGAACTCAAACTCAAAAAGTAAACATTTACCTACAGTGTATATTGTAAGAACTACTCTCATAAAGAACGAGATTTTCATTATTAAATTATAATCACAACCAAGATTTGTTTAATAAAACAACTTATACATGTTCAAAAATTCTCATGCTTTTCATACTCTAGTCTAGTCACATACACCTAGAAATAACAGGACTTGACAAAGAATAAAGGTGCATCCTGTGCAAGCTTGGTTTTTAAAATTAAAAAAGAAAAGATAATTAAAAGAAAATTAGTTCCATTTCTGATTTTTCCATCACCTATACAGTTGTACCAGAATTGTGTTACAAACACATTAAACCCCATTGAGGCAAGGTTTAATCATTATATCCACATTTGGATTGTTCAGAAACCTTCCTACATGGCTGAGGTAAACATATATCATATGGACCCACAATTCAGTTTTGACCCATGTAGAGAAAAGAAAGGTCAACTTAAATAAATTTGAGGCTCCATTTAACATTTAGATGTACCTTATTATACATAAAGTGTATTTCAGGTCATTGGCTTGAATTGAAATATTTGTACAATGTGAACATACAGGGCTGAGGTGAACATATGGACCCCCGATTCCGTTTTGAGCCATGTACAGAAAGGTCAACTTAAGAAAAAATTGAAAGTCCATTAAACATTTAACTTTATGCTATTATGCATAGATTGTATCTCAGATCATTGGCTTGAATTGAAATATTTTGTTCAATGTACAAAGGTGGTGATTGGTTATATAGATGATGTTGCTATCAGTAAATCATATGAAGCTTCTAAAATGTCATAATACAATTAATTTTCTCATTTATCAATAAATATACCCATCAGTTTAGAGAAACAAAAAATGACTGCTTGTTTGACACAAACCTAGTACTAGCCAAGAGTAAAGTACTGAAAAAAATATAGACTGTAGATAACAATAGAAATCATGTAAGATAATATGCTTATATTATATCTACAAACCAATAGTTTAAAGCTGATTTACATACACGAGTATACAAATTCTCAGCAACTGGACCATCACAAGTGTTGGAAGAACAAATAAGTTAAGCAAGTTTACTGGCAATGAGGTGATTCAGTTATATGTCATAGGCTTAGCATGGGTATTGGGCAATAATATCATCCACATGATATGAAATTGATTACTGAAAACTCATACCTAAAGTGTTCAATTCTTTCAATTGATCAAGCCTGCAAATGGAAACAATCCCATTATCTGCACAAAGAGGGATTCATTAGCGGAAATAAGGAAATTTAAAATTGTATTTTTCCAACCAACAAAATTAATATATACATCAGAAATTAAAAACTAAGGTGATGCAATTGACCAAGATGGATCCTACCATTCAAGATCAAAGCACGTAAGCTCAAAAGAGATCTGACCTCATCCATTGATTTAAGCTTATTTTTGCTGGCATTCAGCAGCAAACCAACAAAATAGCAAATTAACAACAAATTTGCTGCATCACAGCAGCAACACAGCTCATAGCTCACAGCAGCAAATTAGCTAAATAAAACAGTAACAAAACAGATCTCCTATGCTCACAACTCCATCTCAAACCATGACACCTCCTCTGCTTCACCCACACAGTCCCAGCAGAGCACTATAACTAGTGCACAATAATCTTAAAAATACACATATGTGAGCTATATGTGGCTCCTTGCGAAGGAGACTACACCGTGACTATTATTTTTTATCATTTTTTTGCTCTACATTGCTCTTCTGCATGCATATATGCAGATCATTGTTCTCGGTCAATAAAGTAAATTCACAAGCATAAACTTATCCATGTTCTCGGCCCTAGATTTTGGATAGCATCCTCATCTGGCACACATGTCCAAAGTCAAAACATAACACTTGAGTTCATATCCACAAATTGTAGCTAATTTCATCATAGGAATTCCAACACTAATCAGGGAAATTCACAACTAGGGAAGAGATTTCCAGGTAGCCACATCACACTTGGCTTTAGACTTTAAAATTTGCTCCATTATCATATTTCTTTCCAAATTTTTTACCTTGGCAGTAGTACGAGACATTTAAGCATATGTTACTGAATTCCACATCACATTTAAGCATGCATGCCTTTTTGAATTCCACATCTTGAAGGTATTAATTCATATGTTACTGATAGAAAAAGGTATTAATTCATATGTTTCATGTGTAAATATGCTTTTTGGAAGGGGAATCATAAAGTCAATACTCCATGCACATCTCCAGGCTATTAGCAAATGAACATCTATGTCAGTGAAGGGATCCTTTACCAGATAAAGCTACTTAATGATTTTTCTCTTTAATTTGACCCATGCATCGTGAAACTATAAGAAATTTTTAACAACTTATGCTTGATGCACTGTCATGGGCTGAAACTAATGACACCTTAAATTTCAACTGATAAGCTTCGTAGAGCCTTATTCACCTGTCACTCTACTAGAGTTTAATTTTTTATTACATAACATGCCACCTTTTCTGACCATCATTGTCTTCATGTTCTCCTTGTAATGCCTTTAACTTGAACCAAATTATGACAAATTGCAATCAGTGGCATTTTTGCATCAATCATCACATATGATTTTCTGTTTGTTTGTTCTCATTTTGAACTGTTTCTAGTTTGCTTGTATGATTTAGTTTGCATTCCCTCAATACTTAAGTATTCATTTAACCTAATTTTCTCAATATCCTCACTCATTTTGGTTGTCGTGTCTTGTTTTTCCAATTTTTGTACTATTCGTGGGACCCAATTTACAGGTGACTTTTAGAACTCTTCCTTTGTGTTGATGGGGCATTTTATAATATGACAACCATGGGGAATGCTTCTTTACTTCAATTTAATTCTAAATCTATTGAGTATCAACAATTTCATGTTCTTTCTCTCGTTAGTGGATCTTGATTATATGTTAACGGAAAAATGGACACCTTATGGTATTTGATACTTAATAATAACTTGAACCCTTTTCAATCTTATGTTGGTTGCACCTCATGTATTTAAGATTAGTCTTGCTCATAATATTCAATTTTAAGTAATTTGAATCAAGTCTTGTCGAGTTTGAGTCACAAAGTTTCCATAATGCCCTAAATTGTATAGCATTATTTTATTTGCATGGAAGCCACACTTTGGAGTACACTTTGAGTTGTCAACTAAGTTCATAAATAGCCTAAATATCAACCTTTGATGGAAACTCGTGATTGAAATTTTATTTCTGATCTCTAATTGTTTCAAAACTTGTAATTGCTCCAATATATATGTTCAATCTTGAAGGAAAATGTTAAGTTCAAGCTGCCCTCTCTTTATAGAACCTATGAAACCACTTTTGTTTGTAGTTTTAAAGTAGGGAGGCTTTTATGCCAAACATTTTCATCTCTTGCCTTATTTTTATTGATAACCAAATGTGTTTGATCCTAGCAAAGAAGCCAGGTCAACTTTTTCATGTTGTTTTTTCAACGGTGTAGTCTTTTCTGTCACTGACAATATCTTACAGTGCTACTCCTAAATTTGATGCCATGTTATTTAAAAAAAAAAAAAATTGATGGCATGAGAGTTGTTATAGATAGTTTTAGAGATGGAGCATGTATTACAGCTGGAGCTTGTAATACCAAGGAGGACAATTGAATTGAAAGTTGAAATGATTTGATTATGTGCCAAAAAACAAATACTACTACAAGAATAAGGACTGATGCCTTGTAGTTAAGGTTCTACAAAAACTATGAGAAAGCTCAAAATGTTATTGTTTGAGATAAGTCATGACTTTGATGATGACCAACCAGTCAAGAGACATTTATTTAGATAGAACAATATCATAAGATTCAAAACAAATTCATGTAGCTTTCCCTATAATTTGGAAAGGTATTTCACTGTGTCACACAGCTTAGAGCTACCATAGTTTCTTGTAAGACACAAAATACTATAACCTCATTATTATTCATAATTTTTTCTTCCTTGGTTCAGGTATGGATTTTATGATAAATGCTTGAGGAAGTACGGAAGTGCTAATGTCTGGAAGTATTTTACCGATCTTTTTAATTATCTACTCCTTACAGCACTGATTGAGAGTCAAGTTTGAGTTGTGCATTGTACAGTGACATACGATGAAAAATATATTTTCTTTATGCCGTATACATGTCGTGTCTGTATCCTAATTTTTTCAAAATAGTTGTCTCGTGCCTGTGTCAGTGTTCATGATTGTGTCAATGTTCATGCTTCCGGTTAACAAACTAGGAACTAACAATGAGAAATTAGAGGGTAAACCTAAAAATGAGGTCAGACAATATACAAGAAAATATTAAAAAATTGATTGGGAAATGAGATAGGAATCCTAGCAAGAAATATTTGGCAACCATAAAAAATAAAAAATAAAAAGAACTGGAAACTTATATGAATTCTTCAATAGATACTCTTATATATATGAACGAAAAAAAAAAAGAAGGTAATTCAATTGATAATTTAATGAAACATATTGAATGCTCAATTAAAACTGAAGAAGAAACAATAAGGAAACCAATGGAAATTAATTGAGGTTCATTATAGGAAGCACGTATGAAAGGAATTAAGTATTAAGATAGCTAATTCTCATCTCTTAATATTTAAAATTTAAGCCATAAATATGAAAATATTAAATTTTATATAGATTTAAAACTAGGCTTCCAATCCCCTCTCTCTCAATCTCCAATCTCCAATCTCCAATCTCCAATCTCTGCACCACTTTCTAGGGTTCCAATGAAGAGGGTTTGATTCCAATGAAGGCAAAAGAAGAGAAAAAGAGGAGAGAACAACAGAGGAGAGAAACCTGGATGGCGGAGGAGAGAACAGCAAAGGAGAGATACCTGGATGGCGGAAGGAGAACCAGTGGGAAGTCGCCGCCGCCGCTGCTACAGACAGACTGTGAGGGTAACGCGAGGGCGAGACCAAGAGAGAGAGATTGTGAGGGTCTGTGCGAGCGAGTGTGAGAAAAAAGAAAAAGAGAAGAGAGGAGGGTATCTCACGCTGGTGCTGTTGGGGCTCCGAGATGGAAAGAGACGACTGGGAGAAGGCAGACAGTTTTTTTCCTTTTTTATTTTATTTTATTTTTTGATCTGAGAAGAGGATACTGAAAGGGTATATGGAAGACAGGGCAAAGATGAAGGGTGCGGGAAGCAAAAAGATTTTTTTTGCGACGGAGGAATAAACAGCGTTGCAAAAAAAATAAACATTTGCAGAATTTGCAGAAAAAAAAAAAAAACAAATACCGACTGGTGACAAATCGAAGCGTAAAATACTATTTTTTGCCACGGTCTTGAATATTCCGTCGCAAAAACATGTTTTTTTTCAAATCGTCGCAAAAGGTTCCGTGTCCAATAATCCCTTTTTTAGTAGTGTAATCAATATATATTTATATAATAAATAGAGAGAGAGAGTGAGTGAGTGAGAGAGAGAGAGAGTATTACCTTCAGTTTTCTTTGAAATTGAATTACTTCAAAAACCCTAAGAACTGAGAGAATAATAAGGAAATCCAAACCAACGGGGAATAACGAAACCCGCCCATGATCAGAGGAGAATAAGGAACCCAAATCAGCGAGGAATGTTCGCGCCAAAATTTTAGGGATTTTGGTTTTAATGTTTTCCGTAGCTTTATCTTTTCAATTATAACAATAATAAAATGACATTTGAAAACTGAACTGATCTTTTACAGCATTTTTAAAAGGCTATTAAAATTGGAATGAATGCTATAAATAAATAAAAAAATTAAACTAATTTGAACAATAAAATCAAAAATATATTTTTAAAATTTTAAAAATTATTTATGACCTCTTAAAAGATAAAATTATACAAAAAAAAATAAGAATTTTTTTTATTTTTTCGCCAATTTGTTTTTTAGTTTTTTAGTAAAAAAAAATTCTGAAATAAGTTTCTGAAAATAAAACCAAACATATTGAAATTGATAATTTAACCACATTCTTTGGAAAGTTTAGATTATCTCAAATTAGTCATCTGAACTTAAGAGTGTGTTTGGGCCTGATGGGTTCGTTTTATGATCTAATTCGATGATCACTTTAATTTTACAATTCAATAATTAGAATATTTAAATTTTTTTGAAAAGTTATAATAAAAATACAAATAACTAAATCACCTCATTTCACTACCAAAACTTTTACTAACGAATAGTATTATTGTCGCTAAATGTTTAACTCTTTGCCTACGCCAACTTGTCATCGCCAAAAGTAAGCCCATTAATAGCGACGCTTATTGTGTTGCTAAAAAATAAGTCTCGTAGCTAAAATTTATGAAATTTTGACGCCAACCAATATTTTTGGCGCCTAGTCAATGTTATGTTTTTTTAGCAACGATAGTAAATTGCGTTGGTAAAGGTCTACTTTTCCCAACGAAATTGATCACTGTGTCGCCAAAAATATACTTTTGGCTACAAAAAATTGACGTTGTCGCCAAAAGTAGTCACCAAAAGTGTAATTTCTTCTAGTGTGTTTGGTTATGTTTCATGTGTGGTGGTATTTAAATTTAATTATGTATGACTTTTTTTTTTTTTTTTGTTATGAACTTATGACTGAAACGTATAAAATTATGTAATTTTCTTCTTTAGAAATGAATAATTTTGTATATATAAAAATGAAACTTGCAATATTACAATCATTAAATTAAATAGATAACATTTATTGAATGAATGGTTTTTATTTCAAAATGATATTGAAATATTTTACCAAAAAATTCATCATTAAATAAAATAAATGTAGATTATTGATAATGGTAGAGCAATTGCATCACTATAACTCAAGTACATCCCAACTAGGTTGGCACCTACTAGCCTACCAATCATTTGAGAGTTTGAGAAAGAGAACTGTTTGTTAGAAATAAAATGGGAGAGAGGGGGATATTTATAGGAGTTTGGGAGGGAGGGGGGTCAATTTGTAAAAAACAATTTCGACCATTGGAGTAAAACAGCAAATGACCATTTGATAATTTATTTATTTATTTATTTATTTTGAATATGAAAACAGCAAATGACCATTTGATAATTTATTTATTTATTTATTTATTTTGAATATGATTGTTGCAATATTTGAATTATTATTAGTTTTTTTAATTTTTAATTTTTTTTGAATTTGTCCATTACTGAGAGAGACGTTAGGGAGGCCGCAGGTCAGGCCGGGCCAAGTCGGGCTGTCTGCATGGTGAAATTCTTTTTTGGGCCATGTCACAGGCCGAATTGGGCTTCAAAATGATGGCCCAGGCCTAAACTTACGGTCCTGAGCTGGGCTCAAGCCCGAGCCTAATCGGGTTGAGCCCACCCCGGTCATGGACGGGCCCCAGGCTGCTCACGGCTCTTTTGTCATTTTTACACCCCTAACTAGACCTAATTGGTCTTTCTTTGGCCTTAATGGTTTTTTACTTTTTTTTTTTTTTAAGACTTAAGAGAGTTATTTTAGTTAGATTAAAGAGTGAGTTTGAGAGACTTTTGGGGAAAGTTCTTGCTGTTCTTGGAATATCTTGAATCTTGGAAGGCTTGGTGGCTTGGATTTTGTCTCCTCCGTCACCTCTCTCCATTTACTTGCTAAATCTTCATCTCAATGGGCTTCTCTACACTCTCTTGATTTCTCTATATTTTCATGCCTCATATTTTGAGATTCATGTCATCATCATGCTTTGCTCTATTTGCGTACCTTTCATCAATTATTGCTCTTCTTGTTTCATTTGGCATCAAAATGATGGAAAGGCATGCATTACGGTTTTCGAAAAATATTATGGTACACATTTCTCAAAGGTATGTATTATAAGTACCTTATAATTAAAAAAACAATAGTATAACTTTATATTTTTAGTCATAACTAAAAAGAAAATGTTTTAACCAAACACAATCTGAAATATAATTAAATAATTTATGAGTCATAACTTAAATAATAATAAAATTAGTCATAACTAAAAAAAATAAAAAAACATAATATAATTAAGAATGCATATAATACACCACTTTAAAGAGTGTGTAGGTTAGAATATATATATTTTTTTTCTTCCAGCCTTTTTGTTACCTAATTGTCCAAATGACTTTTGAGGAAATATATATAATATTTTAATTATTAAAATGTATAATTTTTTTTGTTAATTTATAATTTTATTTTTTATTTTATTTTATTTTTTGCTGGACCAATATTTCCCCCTTACTTTCCAAGTCTCTTTTTTGAAATGCATCTATCGAAAAGAATTGTTCTGTTCAATCAAAGCAAAAGAATGTTACTTTTAATAAAATAATAATAAAAATAAAGCTTGCTTTATCGATAAAAGGATGGAAGAGGTTCGGCTCCCCTAAAAAGGAAAAGCGACATCTGAGACCGTGGTGGGTGTCGTGGGTTGACGATGAATTTCAGGAATAATAGAGATTAATCCTAAGGGATTTGGGGTGCCTGTTCCTGCTGTGCTGTTTTATGAGTTTATTTTGGAGTTCGTTTTGATTATCATAATCGTTTATATTTTAAAATATATTGAGCATAATATATTTATAAAAAATTAAATTAATCCGATATTATTAATCCTTTTATCCACTTACATTTACATTTATAAAAAAAAATAAATGACATTGTAATTTAAAGTATTCAAATGAATACAAATGTGAGTGAATGAAAGGGTTAACGATATCCGATTAAATTAATTTTTTAAAAGTATATTCTACTCAATATACCTTAAAATGTGAACGATTCAAATTATCAAAACGGACTTTGAAATGAATACATAGAATAGCGCCGGCTGTGCTGAGGTACAACAAGCACCCCAAATTGAATCCTAAGCAATTCCAGCAAAGGAATAAAGAGAGAGCACCCCAAATCGAATCCTAAGCGGTTCCGGCAAAGGAATAAAGCAAAGGAATAAAGAGAGAGGGCCCCAAATCGAATCCTAACCGGTTCCGGCGAAGGAATAGAGAGAGAGATAATTAGTTGTAGAGAATTTTGAGTGATGATGATTTGTTTAGGTGGAAAATATATATATATATATATATGTATATATATATTTTTAATGTTTGATATAATAAAAAAGAAAGTTAATAAAAAATATTTTATATGATAACAAAAAAATAAGATTATTTAAGTAAAAAATATTTTTCACTTATTTTTAGATTAAAATTTTATCAATATTATCATTCTACTATCACCACTCTCACATTTACCATCACACCACCATCACTACCATAACTTACCATAGCTGTCACCATAATTGTTGCCGCCGCCGCCTCCGTTTCCATCCTTTGCCTCCTCCACCACCACCACCACCACCACCAAATATAAAAAAAAATATTTTTCATTAAAATATATTTTCACCTAACCAAACGGAGTGTAATTGAAAACTTACCAAGAAATAAAGTAAACGCAAGGTAAATAAATATGTATTTATGTTTTTGGAGGGAATTAACTAAAAAAGTGGGGCTTTTCTAATGTGTAACTACTTATTTTTTGAAAAAATTCATGATAAGTCTGAAGAGGGGGAGCACTTATTAGATCTTTTGAGGCTAAGCGTTTTGTACGTCATGGATGAGAAAGATATTCGTGACAGTGTTATTTTTTTATTATTATTATTTATTATAGTCTATTTCTCTCACAATAAAAAATGTCACATTTTGTGACTAATATTTTAATTGTTAAAGGTATTATTTTAGCTGCCAAAACATTTTTATCATATTCATGGCCAACAAAACTATTTGTCAACTAAAATATTTTTAATAGTTAAAGTAGAATTTTAAGTGATTAAATATTTAATCACAATATATATTTTAAATTTAATCGTCATATGTTTTTTAAAAAAGCTAAATAACTTTTAGCAATTAAAGTATTTAGTGGGCAATTATCTTTACATTTGGTAAGGGAAAAGTTAATGCAATTGGCAAAATTCAAAATTTAGGCCTTTGGCGAGTAAAAATTTAGCAGGCAAAAGTAGAAATTTAAACCTTTCACTATTAAAAATTTAGTTGTCAAAAAGTCTTATGTACATTTATTTATATATATCCATTCAATTAAAGACTAAAAGAGCTTTTCTCAACACTATCGTCAATTAACTGACAATTTGTTGGAAAAGTAGCTGGTGATGACCAGTGGTCGGAGGTAGCAAGCGACAACGGTGATTGACAATCGTCGTGTACAGATAAGTAACACGTGGACAAATAGACAAATAAGTAAGGGTAATATTGTTTTT